GGGTGAGGTGCTTCTGGGCGGCAGGACCGGGGAGAGCGTCCTCTCGCTGGAATTTCTGCGAGCGAAGTTCAGGGGGGAGTTTAGGATCCTGTAGTGATGAGACGGGGACAGCAGCTCTGTGGGGTCATCACGGTCCACAGACTCGAAGGAGCGCACCATATCCAGCATCAGGGGGTCCTCCTTGGGGGCAATGCCGGCACTTCCGGGCCCTGGATGATGGGGTTCTGGTTTCTTTATAATTCTGGGGGTCCTGGGAGGTGGGATGGGAATGAACTCCATGGAAGAAGAGGCCACACAGTTGGAATCAGAGGTTTTGCGGAAGATACCGCGGCAGCCAAAGGAATCTGCAACGGAGAGAGGAAACGAAAGCGTGGAACGGCTGCGTACACGGTGCGCGCAGCCCTCCTCTCCCGCCTGCCCCAGGCGCCAGCTGTGCGGACGGTTACCCCGCGGAGGTCAGGGGAACCGAGGAGCAGACGACCGTGGCTACTCCACCAGAGGGGCCAGCAGCAGCACCTGACCGCCCCAGAGGCCTGTAGTCTTTCTAGAAGACAGGAGAGGGCAGAAATCTGCTAACAGGAGGTCTCCTTGGGTCCCATATGCCTCGTGGCACCAACTGTTACGGACTGAATTCTGTTCCCCAAAAGTATGTGCTGGAATCCTAACCCCTACAACTGTGGATGGAAACCCTGGCGGTATAGTGGTTAAGAGCTATGGCTGCTACCCAAAAGGTCGGCAGTTCGAATCTACCAGGTGCTCCTTGGAAACTCTATGGGGCAGTTCTACTCGGTCCTGTAGGGTGGCTATGAGTTGGAATCAACTCGACAGCAACAGGTTTGGTGTTTGGTTTTATACCTGTGGATGTAATCCCATCTGGAAATAGGGTTTTCTTCATTATGTTAATGAGGTCATATCCATGTAGGGTGTGTCTTAAACCAATCACTTTTGAGGTATGCTGCTGTGTGCCATCGGATTGATGCAACCCTAGAGTGATCCTACAGGATAGAGCAGAACTGCCTCATAGGGTTTCCAAGGCTCCATCTTTACGGGAGCAGATAGCCAGGCTTTGTCCTGCACAGTGGCTGGGGGGTTCGAACCACCGACCTTTCCGTGAGCAGCTGAGCATTTAACCATTGCACCTCCAGGGCTCCTTTTTGAGATATAAAAGGAGCAGTTTAGGCACAGAAGCAAGCACACACAGACAGGGGAAGACAGACGCCCCACCACATGAAGATCGCCAAGGAACCGAGGGACAGAAGCTGAAAAGAGACAAGGACCTCCCCCCCAGCACCGACAGGACGGAAAGCCTTCCCCTAAGGCCGGTGCCCTGAATTCAGACTTCTAGCCTCCGAACTGTGAAAAAACAGATTTGTCTGCGAAAGCCACACATTTGTGGTATTTCTGTTACAGCAGCACCAAGGTATTAAGACACCAGCTCAACATCAGCACTGCTTTAGGTGGCTTAAAATTCTGGATCCCGCCAAAGGGACTCTGAATAAATGAGGTACAGGCATTCAACAGGCAGCCCACAAAGCCCCTCCAGGCCCGGCTTACTGAGCTTCTGCAAGTGGGCCCTCAGCTCTCCCACCTGGAACAAGCTTTTCCCTCAAACTTCTGATCTGCCCAGAGCCTCATCCAATTCTGCGTGGGGGATGAACATTCTTCTATATGTTAAAGGCAACGAGCCAGTCTCCAAGGTTTCTCTCTGGAGTTGGCACAGGCTGGGAACTAGGTTTGCAAACTGTGCCAGGAGAGAAAGGGAAAACCCACACGCATGCTTGGTGCCGAGGGAAATAAAGCCAAGTTCACGTGGAACCAGCTCGGCTCCAGCATCTCTCTTCTGCAGGCCCTGCTGCGGGAGCAAGCGGAGGCTCATTGGGGTGGCTTCAGAGCAGCTCGGGCCGCGTGCCCGACATAAATAAATACACAAACCAAACCCAGCGGCCATCGCGTCGATCCCAACTCATGGTGAGCCCATGTGTCTCAGAGCAGAACTGTGCTCCATTGGGTTTTGAATGGTTGATTTTTGGGGGAAGTAGATTGCCAGGCCTTTCTTCCAAGGCACCTGGGTGGACTTGAACCTCCAACCTTTCTGATTCCACAATACCATTCATCTTGATCTCTGTTTCCACAGTACCATGCACCTGACTCTGCTCCTCAATACTGTGCACCCCAATCTCTGCTCCCACGCTACGATCACGCCCCGTCTTCTTTCTCCAGTCCTTCCCACACAGATGACCAATACCAGGCAGCTGGGCCGTGGATGGCTCTTGCATTGCCTCGGGGTTGTCCACTGCTTTCCTGCTCAGCATAAAGATCGTCCCTCTTCTCGGGGCCCAGACTGCCACCCCCTGCGAGGGGCGCACGGCAGACTTGCAGCTCAGTACGTGTGGCCTGAGCCGTCACCCAGAGCTGACCCACCTTTGTCGGGGAAAGCGGGCTTGGAGGCCTTCTGGTCCCTCAGTGCCTTGGTGCCCTGGTTCTGCGTGACGGGCGAGGCGCTGGCCAGCTTGTGCGAGGGCAGGGTCTTGTCCAGCTTCTTGGAGAACGGCCAGGGGAGAAAATCCCCTCTTTTTTCCTGGTCTTTGGGCTTTTTATCCTTCAGATCGGGAGAAAACATAAAACAGTCAGACGCAAACCCAACATAGAATGCTTATCACCTGTATAGAACAGCCCCTACCTTTTTATGTTTTGGTTCTTAGATTGAAAAAAAAAAAAAGTTATCTAAGACACTCTGGGGGACATTCGGGGGAAACTGAGTAAAGACTGAGGGGTAGACAGTATTACTGAGTTAATATTATTCTTCAGTGTGATAACATTATGGTATGAACATTAAACCTCTTGGATGTGACAAAAAAAAAGACTACAATGTGATTCCTCTTTAAAAAGTGAACCAAGTGGACTAGAATAATCCAGCTTTTCAAAACCCTGAACTCTTGGCTGTGTGCTGAGTGGAGAGCCCAGGGCCAGGGGTGCCCCCAGGGAGCCCATCTCCCACCCCGGGCAGCAAGCAGGCTTGGCCAGCACCCCGCTCCCTGAGCTGCACCGTTTCAGGGTGCTCCAGCAGCACAGACAAGGTCATCTGTTGTTGGTGTTAACTGCTATCACGTCGGCTCGAACTCAGGGTGACCTTACGGACAACAGAACGCAACGCTGCCCGGTCCTGCGCCGTCTGCACGCTCACTGGTGTGTTTGAGCACATTGTTGCGGCTATTGTGTCCCTCCATCTCATGGGGGGGTTCCCTCGTTTTCGCTGACCCCCTACTTTGCCAAACATGATGTCCTTTTCCAGCGACTGGTCTTCCCTAACAACATGTCCAAAGTAAGTGAGACGAAGTCTTGCCATCCTTGCTTCTAAGGAGCCTTCTGGATTTACTTCTTCTAGGACCGACGTGTCTGTTCTTCTGGCAGTCCCCGGTATATTCAATATTCTTCGCCAGCACCATGATTCAAACCTAGGAGGTCGATTTTTCCAGAACAAGCTGAAGGAGTGAAGTCAAAGCAGATGGGGACTTCTGGAAATCTACTACTGTCTGCGTTTAAAGTGGTGCCCTAAGAATCTGCCCACAGTAAGCTCCCGGCTTAACATCCATTCTTATTTGTTCAGTTAAGTCAAGGAAGTGGCTGACACAGTGCGGGCAAAAATCCGTCATCCTGAGCAAGTCTGGGTGAGTTATCGGCTTTTTAGCGCCCCTTAGTCATGTGAACACTTTGATGTGTACTTAAAACTGGCATATGTTTAGCCCTTTTTGCCGTAAGTTTTGCTTTTATTGATTACAACCCTCTGATGGGAGTGAAGTGGACTCTTTTATAGATCGTCAGCCCCACATCCTCTGGAACCAAGCCAGACGCTTTGAGGAAGCTCAGTAAACAGTGATTGAAATGGAAAAAAATGCCAATAGAAGCCAAACCAAATTAAATTGAGTTCAAGCTTCTGAGAAGGGTGATGCCACCAGGAAGAAGTTCTTTGCCTGACTCTGATGACCGTGTTCGATGTTTACTGTTAAACAGAGGCAACCAGATCCCTGATCTTACTGCAGTGAGAAAAAGAAGAGAGATTTTCACGGTTTTTGCCTTAAACTTTAAAAGCGTTTGCAATTCAAGAGAGTTCATCTATTTTTCATTTAGGTTGCTGAAAACTTCTGAAGAAAACATCCTCTTGCTCTTTTCTAGCCTTTTCTAGGGAGGCTTTTCAAAGCCTCTATTGAATCAGGGTTCATTTGGTCCAGGTTTTGAGTGGGAGAAGACAGTAGGGGTAAACGGGGCGTGGGGATGCCAAGCCCTGGCTTGCTGTGAGGGGCAAGTGCCCGCTGGGGTCTACCTCTTGTTCGTTTTTGTTTTTTCATTGTACTTTAGATGAAGGTTTACAGAGCAAACTAGTTTCTCGTTAAACAATTAACACACATATTGTTTTGTGACATTGGTTGCCAACCCTACAACATGTCAACACTCTTCCCTTCTCAATCTTGGGTTCCCTATTACCAGTTTTCCTGTCCCCTCCTGCCTTCTAGTCCTTGTCCCTGGGCTGGTGTGCCCCTTTAGTCTTGTTTTGTTTTATGGGCCTGTCTAATCTTTGGCTGAAGGATGAACCTCAGGAGTGACTTCATTACTGAGCTAAAAGGGTGTCCGGGGGCCATACTTCTCGGGGGTTCTCTTGTCAGTGTCAGGCCAGTAAGTCTGGTCTTTTTTTGTGAGTTAGAATTTTGTTCTACATTTTTCTGCAGCTCTGTCTGGGACCCTCTGTTGTGATCCCTGTCAGGGCAGTCAGTGGTGGTACCCGGGTACTGTCTAGCTGTACTGGTCTCAGTCTGGTGGAGGCTGTGGTAGCTGTGGTCCATTAGTCCTTTGGACGAATCTTTCCCTTGTGTCTTTAGTTTTCGTTATTTACTCTTGCTCCTGAAGGGGTGAGACCAGTGGAGTATCTTAGATGGCCACACAACCGCTCCCTGCAGGTACCTTTGCTGGGTCAGTCCGTGTGCAAAGGGTCAAGAGTCCCCCTGAAAACGTGTCTGCCTGCAGCCAGCCAATCTCACTGCCGTCTAAGCACTTACCACAAAACGTGTAAACCAATCATCCATACTCCTTGCCATTTGCATGGCCTATTTTCTCCAAAAGAAATTTCCTGAGAAGCAGGATGCTAAATTGCCTTATGTAACAGAGAAAGATCTTCAGAGGGACTAATTCCGCTCCCTCTTCTAGATGCATCCTCCCACGTCCCCACCCAGCAGTGGGCTGCCTGCCTGGGGGACTAACTTCCCTGACTACTCCGCACCGCCCCCGGGGGCCTCTGAGAGCCGATCATGGAACTCAAGCTCTCAGTTTGAAGCACCTCCTGTTTGCACGCTCAGGGCACAGTCCACACCCCTCAAATCAGGTCAGGAAGAGGACCTGTGAGGCTGCGCCTGAAAACCACACATACAACGGGTTCTGGTTTTCTTTAAGGCATTTTCCACTCACTGCAGACTGGCATAGGCATTTGGAAATGCAAACCTGGATGTTCTGAAAATGTGGCCCCCTAAGAGATTATCTACCCAAGACTCTTCTAATGCCATGCATTTTTTTTCTTTTTTAAATTGTGCGTTAGGTGAAAGTACACAGCGCAAAATAGTTTCTGATTCAAAAATTTATACACAACTGTTTGGTCACATTGGCTGCCATCCCCAGTGGGTCAGCACTCTCCCCCTTTCCCCTTCCACCCCGGGTTCCCCACGTCCTTCTGTCCCCACCTTTGCTTTGGGCAGGTGTCACGCATTGTTTTGACTGAAGAGAGGGAGAAGCCAGCGGGTGACTGTTAGGGACTGAACTGTGTCCTCCAACAGGATGTGCTGAAGTTCCAACCCCTGGCACCTGTGAAGGTGACCCTGTTTGGAAGGAGGGCGTTTGAAGCGGTTATCAGTTAACACCGGGGGGGGTCCCAAGCCCGTCCGAGTGATGTCCTTATCAAACAGGTGAACAGACAAGGAGACAGATCTACATGGAGGAAGGATGGTGCACACACAGCTACAAACCAAGGAATGCCAAGGCCTGTGGGAGTTTCCAGAAGCTAGTGGGGAGGCATGGAGCGGACGCTCCCCGAGAGCCCCGAGAAGGCATCAACACGGCCAACACCCTGGTTTGGACTCCGAGCCTCCAGAGCTGTCAGACAATAAGTTCCTGTTCGTTAAAGCCGCCCACTTGGAGGCATTTTTTATGGCGGTGCTAGGAGACAGAGCAATGAGCCCCAGAGCTTCTGGAGGGAGATGTCCGCAGCTTCCTGGTCCTCCCCCTGTGGGGTCTGAGCTGGGGGTGCTGGTCGCCAGGGACAGGGCCTCCAGCTCATCCAAGCCAGTAGCTGTAGAAGCGTAACTCCAGGCTCCAACCTTCCAACAGCCACACCCTCTCCGCCTTGCTTCTTGGTTCTGCTTCGCTGGGTGGTGCACCGGAAACGCGGACCGTGTCTGTAGCTTGGGGGTCTGGAAACCTGGAACCCATTCCTGCCCCTTTAACTCACAGGGGGACCCCATGCACATCACTCCCCCTCGAGGGCAGTGTTTCCTCATTTGCAACAAGGAGGGTGGGTCCTTCCCAGCTCTTGGAGCATAAAACGGACCCCACACCTCACCTGCCTCACCTTCTAAGCAGCAACCGCTTCCACTGAACCAGAACAGAGCTGGCCGCCCCTGCCGTCAGCCCAGGCTGCAGGAGACCTGGGTTTCCCCTCCTGCACTGAGGACTGACGACAGGCAATGATGGGGACATCAAGGCCCCGAGGCTTGAGACAAGCAGAAGCTGTTTTCTCTGAGTAACTCTAACAAGTCCAGCGTGGGCACCCCTGGAGTCTGACGGCTCCTTGATGATGAGCGAGCTCTCATCTGACTGGCACAGCAGAGGGGAACCAGGTACCGATCACATGCACCTGGGATGGCCCAGGGTCCAGGGCTTATTTGCTGATGGGTGTTGGGTCCTTGCTGCCCATGGCATAAGGGGGAGCCACAGAGGCCTGATTTTGCAGCAGAATAAAACAACGGTGAGTTGAGAAAAAGGTTTGGCTCATAAATCAGGCCAGCGAGCCTGGAATCTCTGGGCTGTTGCGGATCCCAGTTCTCACACAGATGGAAATGCAAAAGCATAACTAGGCTGTGTAGTTAGAATAAAACAAAAATGTTAATTAACCCTAGAAAGCAGGAGTCTGCAAGTTTTAGCTCTGGCTCAGGGACAGGGGTAGCTACAGAGCCCCGAAGCCCTGGGCAGAGTTCGTGCAGCCTTTTGTGATCTAACCCCGTGCTTACCTGCACAGCGTGGAATTCGAGGTCTCTCGTCCAGGTGTCCAGGGAGGCCTGTGAAGAGCAGCACTTTTCAACAATTCAGGAAGCTACACCTGCTGGGTCTTCCCCAAACTCCACCCGCTGAGACTTCCCCTGCAGCTTTGGTTGCCAACTGTCCTCTTCCGGGTTTACGGACAGAAACTCAACTCCTGGAAAGCCCTGGAAGCAGGCAGCAGGTCTCCTGATTTATGCACTGAAAAGACTTTCTAGGTAAACTTTTTACTGAAGTTTAAGACTGTTACGTTAAGACCACTGTGGACTGAATTGTGTTCCCCCTAAAAGGTATGCTGAAGTCCTAACCCCTGTACTTGTGAGCATGACCTTGTTTGGAAACAGGGTCTTTGCAGATGTGATCAGTTAGAAGAGACACGGAGATGGGGGACAAATGAAGGATACTATGTGAAGAAGCACCTACAAGCCAAGGAATGCCTGTCGCTATGACCAGAAGCTAGGAGAGACGCGTGGAACAGATTCCCTCTCAAAGCCTCAGAAGGAGTCAACGCGGCCGATACCCTGATTTGGCCTTCCACCTTCCTGTGAGACAATAAATTTCGGTTTGTATAAGCCACCCGTGTATGGTGTTTGGAGCCCTGGTGATGCAGTGGTTAAGAGCTATGGCTGCTACCAAAAGGTCGGCAGTTCGAATCCATCAGCTGCTCCTTGGAAACCCTATGGGGCAGTTCTACTCTGTCCTGTAGGGTCGCTGTGAGTTGGAATCGACTCGACGGCAACGGGTTTGGTTTCGGTTTTTTGTTGTGGTGCTCCGTTACGGCAGGCCTAGGGAACTAGCACAAACACACTTTTAAATGAAGTGCACAGAAGGGTGCATTCATGATGAAGGAAGGAGCAGCTCAATGCATTTTCACACACAGCACAACCCACGGGGACAGCACTCGGATCGAGAAACAAACGCCAGCCTGCACCCAGAAGGCCCCCACGTCCTCGCCCAGCACCCGTCCTCAAAGGTAACTGCCATCTGATTCCTAACAGCACAGATATAGTTTTGCCTGATTTCAAACTTCATTTAAAGTTGTCTCGATTTTGAAATAAGACACAAAGTGCACATTTTAATATTTTACCCTTAAACGTAGAGTCCCCCTGCCACGCTCCCCACAACTTTTCTTCCGAAGAGCCATGTTACTTTGCCACCGCAGAGAATCCCTCCTAGTTCTATTTTACGTTTTTCTACACGTTAGTGTTATTTTGTATAGGCATTAATGAAAATAACTCCTGGCCTGATGGCTTTAATAAAAAAACAAACAAAAAAAAACCAGTTGCTGTCGAGGTGACTCTGACTCATGGCGACCCCACGTGTGTCAGAGCAGAACTGTGCTCCACAGGGTTTTCAGTGGCTGATGTTTCGGAAGGTCTTTCTTCTGAGGCGCCTCTGGGTGGACTTGAAGCTTCAACCTTTCCGATAGCAAGGGAGTGTGTTAACCATTTGCACCCCAGGGACTCCAGCTTGAATAAGCCAGCTCTGGAACAGTGACTGCCCCGCCCTGACCCCCGCAGTCCTCGGGGGCTCCTTTTATGGGAAGAGAAGTCTCTCAGCTCAGACGGCTAGGTGTTCTTCCATGAGGTGCATGTCCCACTTTCAGAGATACATTCTCTGCCTTGTGCAGGCAGAAGGAGGTAGAGAAAACGCTAAAGTCCTAAAATCACAGCACTGTAATCCCCGGAGGGAAGCTCTTTTCAACCTAATTCAGCTCCTTTGTCTCCTAGGAAAAAAGAACTGGAACGAAGGAAGACAAAGAGGTCATTGCTTGGACTCAGAGCACAGGACACAGCTTCAGACCTCCCTGGGGGACGCAGACCCACAGCTAGTTCAGCGACAACCTGGCACTCCTGTTCGCCCGTCCCTGGTCCCGCTCACCCCCCACCCCTACCCCCACATCTTTGCAGCACCTCCTCCAGGACCTGCTGATGACAACCTCAACAAAACCCCAGAGGCCCTGAGTGGGCTTCACTCATAAAACCTGGGGTCTCTCAGGCCTTCCTGGCAAGTGTTCTCACTGGCTCTATTCCACTTTCTGGGTTCCAAGGGAGACAAGGTGGATAATCTAGTCACAGGCTGTAATTCAATCAGCAGAAGTGTCGCTGAGTTTGGAGAAAACCAATGATCATAGGAAACGGAAATCTTGTTTTCCCATTAGTGTTCCTGCTGAAACCCTAACCATTAAATATTTCCACAAATGTTCAAGTGTACACCATGCATTCTCAGGCCAAGTGAAGTTACCATCAGAGAAAAAGTCTGGGTGAAAAAAAAGGCCCAACACACAGTTCTGGCACCTTCTGATGCACATCGTAGAGACTCGGGTACAAGGGCAGCTGCGGACACAAACGTCAGCGAAGTAGCTTAGAAGTCACTTAGGGCACAGATGCAGGGGCATCCAGTGCATCTAAGACAAACCAACCAGCTGCCATGGAGTCGACTCGAACTCATGGTGACCCCACGTGTGTCAGGGTAGAACTGTGCTCCAAAGGGTTTTTAAGGACAGGTTTTTTGGAAGGAGATCGCCAGGCCTTTCTTCCGAGGCACCTCTGGGTGGATTTGAACCCCCAACCTTTCGGTTAGCAGCCAAGTGCATTAAGGACTTGCACCACCAGGGAACTCTGTAAAAGGATCATTTATATGAAATATCTAGAACAGACAAATGCATGGGGGCAGAGGCATAAAGCAGGTTAGTAGTTACCAGGTACTGGGGGAGTGGAGAATGGTATCATTGCCTGCTGGATCTCCTGCACCTTCCCGGCCACCCTTGGCTTCATCACTGATCCCTCTGTCCACGGCCAAACACTAGTCTAGCTGCTGTCATAGAATAGTTACATGTGATAAAATCACTGGTCTTGGGTGGAGCGGACCACCTTCCACAGTATAATCTAATGTAATTACCCTACAAGAAATGCAATGACCATCTAAGCAATCCGGTGCAATGTACCCAATCACCCAGTTGAGGTCATACCAGTGTAAGGTGGACCCTAAACTTAACCATGTCTGAGTTATAAAAAGACCAGAATAGACACAGAGACACACACACTGGGGAAGACAGACGCCACATGAGGATCGTCTACAAGCAAAGGAACGCCAAGGATCACCGGCAGACATCAGAACTAGGAGACAGACTCACAGATGGAATGGACATGGCTGAGACCCCAATTTGAACATTTAGCCTCTGGAACTATGAGACAATAAATTTCTGTTCTTTAAAGCCACCCACTCGTGGTATTTCTGTCACAGAAGCCCTGCAAAGCTAAGACAGTATTTGTCTTCTGCTACTTCAATGGCCCACAATAAACTACTTCCTTTCCACCTCCTCAGAGTGGAAACAGCTTCTAGGAGATCCTGGCTGTGCTTCAGCCACGCTCACCTCATAGGGCTCCTTGGTGGCCCTGCACTTCTCTATCTGGTAGAGGTGGGTCTTGCAGCAGACACTGTCCTGGATGTCGGATTTCTGCCAAAGAAGAAAAGGAAAGGAAAATCATGGCTTAATGCTCGGGAAATAGGAATGTCCATTATGCAGTCATTAACTTTTAAACCAGAAGCCATGCGCTTGGCTAGAAAAGTGTGGCAAACAGTTGGTGAGCCCATTCACTGCGATGCAAAGCCTCATCCCAGACGCAGAGAACCGGGCAACCTGCCTCTGCCCAGGAAGGGCCACATGACTCTGGGAGGCTCTGCTCCCAGTTAGACCTCAGTCCTTCCACCTGCATGATGAAGACTCCTCTGAGACATGAAGGCAGAAACCACTGATGATGAGATAAACAGGGGAGTCAGGAAGAATAATTTTTTTTATTGAACTACTAAATAGGATTGACGCCTTTGAATTATGGTGTTGGCAAAGAATATTGAATATACCATAGTCTGCTAGAAGAAGGAACAAATCTGTCTTGGAAGAAGAACAGCCAGAGTGCTCCTTAGAAGCTAGGATGGCGAGACTTTGTCTCACATACTTTGGACGTGTTGTCAGGAGGGACCAGTCCCTGGAGAAGGACATCCTGCTTGGTGAAGTACAGGGACATTGAAAAAGAGGAAGATCCTCAATGAGATGGATTGACACAGTGGCTGCAACGATGGGCTCAAGCAACAATGATTGTGAGGGTGGCACAGGACGGGCAGTGTTTTATTCTGTTGTACACAGGGTTGCTATAAGTCAGAGCCGACGTGACAGCACCTAACAACAACTGAACAGGAAATACATCTTGTTTGTTTAAAACACCCCCAGCCAAAAAAAGTCAAAAAGCCACAATCATAATATAACTTCAAGAAGACAGACAATCGCACCTAAGATGATGCAGGTGCACTCCTGTCCGGAGACAGGTGAAATTAAATGGCTGATTAAATCATTTATCAACCAACAATATTCACTGAATGTCCTTCTCCTAGGCTCTCCAGTGTAGAACACGTTTTCTTGGTTTTAAGAAGAAACCGGAATTAAGAGAGGAGAGAAATGAACAAACCATTAAGGCATAACGCTGTACTTTTTAATTCACTAGTTTGGGTTTTCGAGAGCCCGGGTGGCACAGTCAGGGCCCTGGTGGTGCAGTGGTTAAGAGCTCGGCTGCTAACCAAAAGGTCGGCAGTTCGAATCCACCAGGCACTCCTTGGAAACCCTATGGGGCAGTTGTACTCTGTCCTATAGGGTCGCTATGAGCTGGAATCGACTCAACAGCAACAGGTTGGTTGGTTGGTTTGGTGGTACAGTGGTTAAGTGCTCAGCTGCTAACCAAAAGATCGGAGGTTCCAACCCACCAGCTGCTCCACAGGAGAAAGATGTGGCAGTCTGCTTCCATAAAGGTTTACCGCCTTAGAAACCCTAGGGGGCAGTTCTCCTCTGTCCTATAGGGTCGACGTGAGTCAGAATTGACTCGACAGCAATGGGTTTATTCGGTTTGGATTTCAGAATTATACATGGGCTATTCGTAATTGGTTGATAAGATTAATAACTGGGACAGTGCACGCGGTACACTTAAATCAGCCATGTCTGGAAAGCACTGAGCGGACTAGCTGTAATTGTCTATGTGGGTAAATTGCCTCCAGTTAAAAGCAGCTGCTCTCCCAGATGTTGGCTCTCAGACAAGGTTGTTGTCGTTGTTAGCTGCCATCCAGCTGGCCCCCAGCTCACGGTGAGTCCATGCACAGCAGAACAAAACACTACCCGGTCCTGCACCATCCCCAGGATCAACTGTGAAACGAAATGTGGTGGTTTTCATTGGCTGATTTTTGGAAGTAGATCGCCAGGCCTTTCCTCCTAGTCCATCTTAGTCTGGAAGCTCTGCTGAAACATGACGTGCACCAGCTGGGAACCAAACCCAGGTCTCCCACTTGGAAGGCCCTGAACCACCACCACCTCAGAGAAGGCAAGTCCTATGACTTAAGGGTGAAAAGTGAAACAGGCCCAATAACATAAAACCTTCTCCACTTAGAACCAGGGCTTCAAACTGATTCATTCCGAACAAGTTCCCCCGAAGTTATACATAAGAATCCCGGGGGATCTTGTTAAAATGTAGATTCTGATTCAGTATATCTGGGGTTGAAATGCATATTCTCAGCAAGGGTTCAAACCGGAACCAACTAGTTGGAAGCCCTGGTTAGAGCTAGATGAGCTGAGTTTCAGAGAACGCTGTCAGTAAAGAAAGCACGCTCAGCTTCAGCTCTGCAACAGTGCAACCCTGATCCCGGGCAAAGCAGAGAAACAAAAACGCGCAAATACTTTTGAAGCCATTGTCCATGTGGAGAGGCGATTTAGTGAAACCTAGCTAAGGAATTACGTAAATTCTCTTACCCAGGCACGTGTAAACTGCTTGTGGCAAAACAACGAAGGTGACGAGGGTGTCAGGGCACCACGGTCCACCCCACACCGCAGCTCTGCACCCAGGTGCCCCCCACATGTGACACTGGATGCTGGGGCTTCCCACCCACACACGGAGTGACGGTGCCAGGGTCAAGCTGGTGAAGCTTAACTTCAGTCTTATTTTCTGGACAAGAAGAAAACGTAAACCGAGCCTGCGCTGGAGACAGACACCTCAGAGCACTGCTTCTCCCTCTCCTGTGGCCACCGGTTAATGAGTTGTTGCTGCGTCGGCTCTGACTCACGGCGCCCCCGTGTGTGTAGAGGAGGACTTGTCCATAGGGTTTCTTTTCTTTCTTTCTTTTTTTAGTAATATTTTATTGTGTTCTAGGGGAAAGTTAACTAGGTCTCCATTTGACATTTTCTATACAAATTGTTCAGCGCCATTAGTTACGTTTTCTTACACTGTATCAACGTTCTCTTTAACTGCATTCTGGTCGTTCCGTTTCCAGTACTGTGGTTTCCTGCCCTGTACCTGTTCATCTTTGCTTTACAATAACTGTTGACCTTTTGGTCTCATACAGATGGTCTTCTAAGGAAGCCCCCTACTCATGGGTAGTATCCTTTACTTTTGTGTGCCAGTCTGTTATTTCCCTAAAAGGTGACCTCAGGATCTAGTTTCAGCTCACGGTTTAAAGAGTATCTCAGAGCGACAGGTCTCAGGGAGTCCTCCAGTCTCAACTGGTCCAGGAAGTCTGGACTTTTTAGGAATTTGAGTTCTGCTCCACGTTTTTCTCCCTTTCTGTCTGGGTCCATCTATCATGGCCCTGACCAGAATGGTCGATAGCGGTAGCTCAGGGTAGATGAGGCATAGGGTTTTCAATGGCTGATTTATCAGAAGTAGATCACCAGGCCTTTCTTCTGAGGCTCCTCTGGGTGGACTCCAACCTCCAGCCTTTAGGTTAGCAGCTGAGAACATTAACTGTCTGCACCACCAAGAGAGTCCTTTATGGCCACAGGAGTCCCCAATGCCTACAGCATGGGGAACCCAGGGAACTCAGAGGGAGCGAAACAAAAAGGGTAATGCAGAAGCTAAAGGGAAAAGAGTTGAATCCTTCACAATTCTGCCCAGGGCTTAAGTCTGTGGGAGAATATTTGAAAAACACCTCAGATAAAAGGCTCTACCCAAGAAGTAGGTTTTGCCACTATTTTATTCCACATTCAGGAACCGCAGCCTCACACAAGGTTAAATTAACAGCTCAGGATCAAGTGTCAGCAACTGGGAAACCCTTTGAGTGGAACAGTGCCTTTTCCCAGAGAGAGCACAGAAAACCACCACGAGGCCCCACTTACCCCGGACAGATAGCGCTCCAGTTTCTTGTTTAAGAGGAAGTAGATGGCGAGGATGTGGCAGGCACGGTTGGAGAGCACGGTGTTGATCACGTCGCTGTTCTTGAAGCCCAGCTTTTCTGTCATGTGTAGCACCACGCTCGGGCTCAGATCCTCCAGGTGGATCCTGCACAGAGGGAGGGAGAACCGGTCACTTCACCTTCACGGGGAGGCTCCTGGGCCTCATGAGCAATGCACACAAATGCAGCAGCACAGACGGACTACACAGGCCTCCTATGGACAATCAGGGCCATCCACCCATCCCCCCATCATCCATCCACCCACCCATCCATCATCTATATCCATCCACCCACCCATCCATCCA